AAACTCCACTGGAAGTAGCTAAATTACTTATTTTAATTTTTTTGATTTAAATCATTAAGTTCACAACAACAGGAACATGTGGGGACGTTCAGGTGAGGGGCGGAGCCTGTAGAGCAGCAGGAGGCGGGACATGACGTCTAAACTCTGCTGTGTAAAGATCAGTGTTGTTTACAGCTCGTCCACTCGGCGTCTGTTCTATTAATCAATGATTTATTAATTATGTGTTTAAATGTTACATGCGTGGCACTAATACTATTCTGCATTAATGCTCCTACTGATTCTAACCTGTAGACTCGGAGCATCACCGTGTCCTCGTCCAGCAGTGGACTCCCGTTGTGGACGTATTTGACCTCGTCCTCCATGAAGCTGCAGTCGAACACCTGCAGACAACAGATGAAACCCTCAGAACACTGACGTGTGCCGGTTCTGTTTGTACCAGAGCTCACCACAGACATCATCCTCACCTGTGGCGTCAGCCTGCCGACTCTCTGAGTGACGGGTTCGTTCATCACCACCTCCATCTTACAGTCTGCGCTCGGATCCACGCTGATCTTCAGCTCTTTCTCTGTGACGAACACAGAGCGACCCCTGGCGACCTCCACGCCCGAGTTTACCACAACCAAACTCCCGCTGCAGAAGGACGTCACCGCCAGCAGCCGCAACAACCCGCCGAGGGCAGCCATGTCAGGACGGGCGAGGGATTCTGGTTTCACAGGTTCAGGTCAGAAAAGTTGTTGTGACGGAAACGAGAGGACTCAGTCGGCCTCAGGTCACATCCTCTGTCCGAGTCACTTCCACCTGCAGAGTTGAATCAACCTGGTTAATAACAACACTTCATCTGAAACTGTTTGTGTGTGGAAGCTAAATGTTCCGACACGTGGCCGTGTTCATCATGACGCCACTGACGAATGATCGCACACGAGCAGGGGAAACAGGGGTCAGGGGTCGGTCCGCCCTAACTCTGAAAAGATTTAATCTACGACAGAACATTTTGAGAAAATAGAATTTTGTTGAGACGGTGCATTTACAGATTTAACAAATGTAACTTAACTGGAAGATAAGTCACTGGTTTTACCAACATTTTACCTTTCCTCACTAATTAGCTGGAATTTCATGAAAGTTGAAATCAGTGGCTGTTGACTCTGTGTTTGGTCTCCACCGCCTGGAGAAATATCTGCCAAACGAAAACCAACAATAGAACTAAACAGTTTTCTAAAAAGGTTCCAGTAAAAATCCAGGCTCGAGTTTTCTGATTAAATCTGCGACTGAGAACTATTTGAAAAGAAATGAATTCAAGGTCAAATGTTGGCTTAGTTCCGTGTCCACCTCCTCCTGAGGAAACATCTGTCTCAGACAGAAGCTCCACAGAGCTGGTGACGACTCAGATTAAAACCTGGAAACATCGTTAAATAACATTAATGAAGCTTTAAAATAATTCTAATCTCCTATAGTCTTTAAAACTGAAATCCAGTCAAGCTGCTCAGAACATTTGAACTTCCAACTCAGAATCTTCTCATCTGAAACCTGAATCTAATGAATTGAATCATAAATACAAACAGATCCTGATCCGCTTTAACTACGATTTACAGCCTGAAACTCAGATTGTCTTCCTCCGCTCTGAGTCCATGCGACAAAGCCAGCAACACAACTCCTCTACATCCTCCAAACTCCCAGCATGCAGCTGACTGACGCCACAGCACACTCCTGGCCGGAAAACGCTTTCACCCTCCATTTCACTTCAAACCAAAGGCCGCAGCGGGAAACAAGAGGTTAATCTGCGTGACCCAGCGGAGGTGGTGGAGGTGGCGTGGGGCGGGCGGCGCGGGGGAGGGGAGGTGTTTTCTGGATCAAAGCAGGGCACCAGCTGGAGCCGGCGTGTCACTTCTCATCCGACCAGACGAGCGTCGCTTCGTTAGCAGAGACTTCTTCAAACTGAGAGTTTGACCTCACGGTGACGCTCAGTGAGAACACGGAGGACTTCTATTGTGTTGTTACAGAAAGTTACACAACGGTTTGACTTGATTGAGAAGTTTGTCTCAGTGCAGGTTTGAGACACGAGGAGGACGATGGTGCTTGAAACTCACCACAGACACTGACCTGAGCAGGAGGTCCAACCTGGTCCGACCCAGGAGACGCTGGAGACGCCTGGAGAACAGGTTGTCTTTCCTCACACTGCTCGAGGGACCACCTCCAGTCAACAAATGATCCTGGGACGAAACTGATAATTCAAAGTTCACCTTCGTGCACGTGGAGTAATTCAATGTAGTTCTGAGGACTCACTCACTGTGTTCACGTGAAACAACAGTTTACTTTCTTGATGGATCTTAAAACAGAAGAGAAATGAAACAGATTTCCCTGCGTCTCTCAGAGGAAGGAATTTAATCTCACCTGGACGTCCTGACGTCTCTGCAGAGACGACTGAATGTTGGACGAGCTCGGACGGAGACTTCTGTTGAATGATGCAGCAGCTGCTGCGTTGGCTGGAAGTGACTCACTGCGGCTGAATGGGAAACACAGTCCTGAACGAAGCAGGATAATTAGGTTCAGACTCAGACCCACTCAGAGTCTCAGATCTTCAGCTGGTGACCGTGTCCTCGTCCACAGGCGTCAAACTGTCTTTACTGTTTCCTTCACGTTTATCAAACAGCACAAGATACGACAACCGATCACCAAAACACATGACAACCACACAGCTGCTGATGCTAATGCAACTGTTACGGTTCACATCAAGTTTGATTACATGCAAACTCAATGCAAAGAAACATGAGGCCACCGACTGTAAATAAAGATGGCCGACATGTCAACTCCCAAAACTGAAGCCAAATCCTCTCCATCGCCCCCTGGTGTCTGGCTGCGGTATAGATCATTAACCTCCTCCTCCGTGTTAGCAGATGGGACATGAACCAAACTAATAATCAAAGCAGACGTTAAGTAAATGTTTGTAAAGATGTTTCTGTCGTTGCAGCTCGTTCTCATCTCTGATGTTTGTTCACGTGTTTCTCATCAGTTTGGTTTGATCAGTTAATCGTCATGATTGACAGCTGACACTGAGGATTGGTTGTGTGGGCGGGGCCTTGATACAGACTCTGTGCACATGTACAAGTTGATTGGTTGGTTAATTATAAACTGTCTTTCCAAGTTGACGTCCTCGTCTTCTACGTGTACAGTCGTCTTCTTCACCCTGAGATGTTTGTGTTCTTCACGTCCGTCACATGTAGAAACTTCATCAACACGTCGCTCGCTCACTCAAGTGTTAGTTCTAAGATTAGTGTCAGTGTGTGAGTTTATCTATTTGTACACAAGTTCCTCTGTGTATCTGCAGCTTTATTACTCTGTTAATCTCAATTCTAAGGAAGCTGATCCTTGTACGCAAGTTTGTGTTCAAACCAAAGTGAAGTTGTTTGTGTGTGAGTTTGTGTGTCTGTACATGAAATAAGTTTGTGGATCTGTTCAGGTTTGACGTGCAGCTGCAGACCTGCATCTGAACTCAACACTGCTCCTCCACGTGTTGGTGTTTGACGTGTGTCTGTTCATCTGTCTGGAAGTTTCACTGTGAGTTTGTCTGTGAGCTCATGTGTCAGTTCCTGTGTCTTTGTGTTGCAGAGTTGAGATGCAGGTTTGCAGCAGCTCTGTGTTGTTGCTGCACAGAAAGTTTCCACTGAACTCCTGCTGCTCTAATCACATCCACCGCCTGTAAAACTGAGGAGACACACTTCCACGAAGGAGCGTGCTACAGGCGAGTGTTTGAAACAAGAAAGAAGCTGAAGACAGAAGAAGGAGGGAATGAAAAGGAGGAATCCCTTCATTTTCCTCCACTCTGTGTTCGGTCTCTGTTCCGGGCCTGTTGGAGGTGTGTGTCGGCACGAGAGCAACAACCAAGTGTGTGTGTTGTGGAGTTGGCACCTACCTCCAGTTGTTGGGAGCTTGTGTTCGTCTCCGTCTTCTTCACCTTCTGTGCACACTCAGAGGAAGAGGAATGCTGTCACACATAACACTTCACACTCACCGTTTGCCACCACCCCCCATTCAACAGCTCACCGTCACCCCGAGACGTCTGGCATCCAACAACACAGAGAGAGAGGGGGGGGTACACTGTGAGATGGGGAGAACAAAGGGCGAGCGAGATCCCTCCACCGGTTGAGTCCTAAACCAAAACCACAAAGAGAGAGAGAGAGAGAGAGAGAGAGCAGACAGGAAATGTGCTGTGAGGATTCCAGGACTTTTATTTTTACAGCCCCAGCCTTCACTCTCTCTCTCTCTCTCTCTCTCTCTCTCTCTCTCTCTCTCTCTCTCTCCAACACAGATCAACCTTGTCCTTGTTCCTGGTCTTTTCTTCATCAAACACCTGAACATGTGATTTAAAGGCTCTGCCGTGTCCTGACAACATGACACATGTACACATGAACACATGACACATGCATGTGGACCCAACAATCAGCTGTTCACACACACTGGATCAAACTCCAGCAGGATGAAGGAGGTTGAATTTACAGTCACGAAACAAGATGTTGATGCTGCAGGATTCTGGACGTACAGCAGAATGTCATGGCCACTTACAGAGAAACATCTCACAGAGTTCAAGAGAAAGATTATTGGAGAGAAACGTGGTGATATTAAGTCTCAGGACTTAAGATTGTGTAAGAAAGTGATTCTGAAGAAAAACTTTTTTCTCAACGTAAGTTCACAAAACTTTCCCACAACAACCACACTTCTCTCTCTGCTCATTAATCCGCTGGCTGTGGGTGTTTTTCATGGCCAATCAGATTCTTCCACAATCTCCTCCAGCCAATCGTGCGGTTGCTGTCAAACTTTGAATTTATGGCTGAGTGAATAGAGAAACTGCTCCGTGACACTGGAGGAGACCAACGACCCACGACATCACATGGGTCTGTTGAAAACACACTCTGATTGGATCTGCTCACGATCCGCTCAGTCAAACCTGATCCATCATTCAGCATCATGAGCTGTTTGTTGCTCAGTTTTAACTGCAGGAGTTGTTCATGTGCAACTTGTTTCCTGAAGACGAATGAGGCTTGTGAAGCAGCGAGCTGGAGTCTGAGCGTTTCAACACATGTTTGTCAGAAACCACAGCAGCAGCCTGGAGCGTGGGGGGTCTGATCGCTGAGAAAAACATCCAGCAGGAAGGAAATCTGCTCCTTCTCTCGGAGCCTCTGAGGAGCCACACATTCCGACCTGGATCTCCAGTCTGGAACAGAACTCGTTGAAATGACAGAAACGTCTCTCAGCTGATCGGTGGAGGTCGGGGAGCCGTCGCTCGTCATCAGGTCGACGCTGAGGCCAATCAGGAATGTGATGATGCGTTTGTCATCTTGTTTTCTGCTTCAGCTGTTGTCATCAGTTACTGATCTGATCTGAACCGTGACCACGACACAAACACCAAGAAAGAAAAGATGAGTTCATTCAAAAAAACACGCTGAAAAATCGGACAGATTATATTCTGGACCTGATTGTTCATTTTCATGTCTGTCACCTTGTGACCTGAAACTGGCTTCAAGCTGCAAACATTCATGAAAACAATTTTTAGTATTGAAATAATCCTTTCAGTATTTTTTTGTTGCAAAAATGGTAAAATTGTATTTTTGGTCAAAACCAGACAAAAGAATAAATTGAATAAAACGATCAGATCTGCATGTGAAGTATCTGCTTGTTTCATCAGCCTCAGTGTGAGTCTGTAAATTAAATTAATTTGTTTGGCAGATTCAAAAATAATAAAAATAATAAAAATACAGGAAAGAAAAGGATAAAAAAACTTTTTTAATTTCCTGGTGTGACCTGAAAGTTGTGTGAAAGACGTTGTGTGTCTGTCGGACTGGATTTAGATTCATTCGGAGGCGTCAGTGCCAGAAACGTCGCTGCGGCTCTGACTTGATTTCCAGTCGACTGTCCGGCGCTCTCTGATCACTTCTGACTGCTACCCTTTGCGTGGTGACTTTGGACTCTGCCACGGCGTTTGGCCCCGTGCCCACCTCCTCGGGCCCGAGGCCCCTGTCAGCCTGACGCCGTGACTCCTCCACCGCCTGAAATTAATTTCCCTTCCTCACTGACCCATAATTAAATCCTGGAACAGTCTGTTCCGACGAGCGGAGGCAGGAAACAAACAAGAAGAAGAATTCTGCTTTCGACTGAGTTACTTTGTTGGCCATGAATTCTGTGAACATTTCGTCCTTGTGATCACAGAGCGATGGATTCTCTGGGTGTTGAATCTGCAGAGGTGGAGCTTCCCCTCTGTTGGCGGCCGACACCTTCTAACAGCTCTGTTGGCCGGGAAAGTGAGAACCAGTCGTCGCTGCTTTGAAAGACAGTTTTCTGGAGTTCAGTAATTATCAGGTACGCAGACACCCTCCAGTTGGAGCCGAGGATTTCAGCAGCCGCTTTACAACCACAAATAACGTGAGAGATTAAAGCGGCTCGGGTTTGGAGCCGTCGACTGAAGCCTCTCCACTGGCGGCGTGTTGGCAGGAGAGTCAGAGCGGGCCGCTGCCAGCCTCGTGGCACCGGTTCAGCTCAGCAGCACCGGCCCATGAGGAGCTGGAGCTGCGTCCACAGGCGGCGTCCTCCCTCCCAAAGAGAGGAGACGTCTTTATTAAGAGATTCACTGTGACACGCTGAATATTCCTCCATCATTACTGCGTGCTCCCGTCTGTGGCTCCATATGTCAGAGCTGAAACAATGGAGCCACAGTGATGCTGCAATAACGAGCAAGTAGAGCTGCAGCATCAATTAGCTCTGTTATTACTGATTCATCTGCCAAATGCTAGAATTCCTGAATGATCATTAAAATGAATCATTTTGTCTTTTAAATATCAGGACACAGTCAAAACTGCTGAACAGAGTTTCAGAGCTCGAGACGTTTTGTTCAACGAGTCTGAAACTAAAAACATTCAGTTCACAGTCACGTGTCGAAAATCATCCTGGAACCAACGTCGTTTTCTTGTTGATAGAAAACTTTACTTTCATCGGCTGCGTTTTATTCTGGACGAGAAACTGAGATGTTTGGAGACGATGACCTCACGGCCTCTGCTGATTGGTTCTTTTCTGTCAGGACGTACCCTCCTCTGATTGGTCAGAGTCCTGTCACATGACCTCCTTCATGAAGAAAACAACCAGAGGAGAAACAACATGGAGTCTGACTGACGCTGTGACAGCTGCTGTTCAGTTCCATTCTGTATTTAACAACGATACAGCTGTTTACATGTGGAGGAAACCAGATGTTGTCACAGACATCTTTGTACAGCAGCACGTGCACTGTACTGTGCACTGGACATGCACGTGACCACTCACGTGCATGTCCAGTGCACGTGAGAGGTCACGTGTGTGTGTGTGTGTGTGTGTGTGTGTGTGTGTGTGTGTGTGTGTGTGTGTCTCAGGCCCATTAGTCCCATTACAGAGTCGTACTGGTGACCAGTGGAGAGTCTCACTGGGAACCTGTCAGCTTCAATACGTCATAACCACTGACTGACACCCCCCCCCCTTAAAGAAGGCGGGGTCGGGGGGGTCTGACCGTCCCTGGCAGCGATGAGGGGGGCGGAGCTCGTCCTCAGATTATGCAAATAGAGCGTCGTTTTGATGCAAAACAAACGGGACTGGCCGCTAATGTTTCTCCAGTCGTGAAAGGGCAAGACTCCCTGGGAGAAATACCGGGAGAGGAGAGGGTGAGAGGGGCCGAGCGAAGGAGCAAGGGATTGTGGGCAATGAGCGGGGCTAGACGGGCGGCTCCCCCAGCGTTATACATTATCATATTTCCACGTAATTAGTTGGTTTTTCCACATGAAATGAGGAAGCGGCTCGACGGTGCGTTCATCGCCGTGAGGAGAGCCGGCCTCCTCCCTCTCTTCTGTTACTGAGCCATGACCTTCGACCTTTCCCCTTAATCATCAACCCAACAACCTCACACACACACACACACACACAC